CTAGAAAAACTCTTTATTAGACTTTAGATAAGCTTTCTTTTGAAGAAAAAGATCCACAGTTAAAATAATCTACTATAATAGGGAATTTAAGAATGGAATAAAATGTACACCCAAGTCTGCAAAAAAGTTTTTTTTATTAGAGGTAAATTGCCTTGTGAAGTAGGTTGGAGAATTGGTCATTTATAATGAAAAGGTAATTCCTTATATTTGTGAATAGGAAAACTTATGTTATATATTATAATGGAGTACTGCAAAGTGAGTCCTATGCAAATCACATTAATGAATTTGCTGCCGAACAGTCCACATTCCACAAGCTACAAAATTGATAATTCACTACTATTTAACAAAAATTAAAGACAGAGTTGTTTGGAAGTAGCTTTGACTTTGCTCTTTTTTCAAAAGTGAAAAAAGGATCAAAGCTGAAATTCTATGAAGTTTCCACAGAAAATAATTAAATTTCAAGAGTGTATAATAGAAAATTCTAGGAAATATCCAATCTTCACACTGATTTATTTTGAAGACTAGCTTTATGCTGAAATTGTACATTTTTCAATTTAGTAAAAAATAACTGCAAAATTGTAGATCTAATTTAGCAAAAACAAAAAGTCCTGGTAAAATAGACAATGCATGTATAGTGTTTTTACACAGAAATACAATTAATTTTAAGAATCCTTCCAGAAACCGCAGTTGGAAGAACAATTTCTTTGGCCCTTAGGCTCTCAAGGGTCCTGCTCTATATACAGATGGCCCCCAACTTATGATGGTCCAACTTGTAATTTTTGAATTTATGATGGTATGAAAGCAATATACATTCAGTAGAAACCATACCTCAAGTGCCCATACAACCATTCTGGTTTTCATTTTCAGTACAGAATTCAATAAATTACATGACATAGTCAACATTTTATTATAAAACAGGCTTTGTGTTATTGTGTCCAACTAGAGACTAATGGAAGTGTTCTGAGCATGTTCAAGGCAGGCTAGGCTAAGCTATGATGTTTGGTAGGTTAGGTTTATTAAATGCATTTCCATTTACAATTCTTTCAACTTAGGATGGGTTTATCAAGGCATAATCCCATGGTAAATCAAGGAGCACCTGTACTTTCTTTTAGGTGACACACTAGGGCATTCGCGAAGAAACATCACTTTCATTTACTAAAAGTGGCACTCTATTATCTGCTATTAATAAAATAGCCCCTGCCTAGATTGATCTTCTATGCATGTTTTCCTCAACACTATTTTCTCATTTTTAATTAATTACACTTGTAATTTGAAGAAATAGTTCTTTGAATGGAGACCCAGGAAGATGGGCAGTAAAATCAAAGAGGCTGAAAATAATTCACCTTACAAATGTTACTCAGGAAGATTTTTTATTTGGTAGGACTATTATGGTTTAGGTCTCATCAGCTCTGGCCTGGACAACTGCAGCTGATTCCTATCTGTGCATATTTGGGTGTCTCTAGACTTGATGAAATGTGAAACTTCCTAACTTTTAAAGTAAATACAAAATCCAAATAAATAATAAAAATCACAACAGACTCCAAAGCAAGCAATTATTGGTTAAGGAGAAAATGCCTGAGAAACAGGCCTGTAGGGTTTGAAATGAAAACTCTTGATTTAATGCACTTTAACTGTTAAAATAGGGTTTTGAAAAGCAACTAAAAGAGAAAATTTCCCCAACTAACTTTAAAATAAATCTCCCGTATTCTTGGTTACATTTATAGAGAAGTATCCTGAAGTGGATTAAAGAGATTTATTTTTGTCTCATTCATTTTTCAGTATTGATATCAATGTGAGATACTCAGTTTTAATTATAAAGATGAATTATGATTGTTATTTTGTTTTTGAGGCATTTCATTCAAAGTTCATATCAACAACTATTTTTTAAGCACTGCTTATTATTTTAAAGGTACCCTAAAATCAAATATTCTTTATAATCAAATAGGAAAATCTGTTGAAGGCTTATCACATGCCATGCTCCCTTCTAAGTGCTTAACATGTTATGTAAATTTATTTCATACTGACAACAAGACAACAACCATTAAGATTAATGGTCTGATTATTTAATAACTATTTTTTTTCAGATGATTACAAGGAGGGAGAGAGCAAGATTATATAAATTGTGCAAGATTACCCAGTTAATAAGAGATAGAGCCAGGATTTGAAGCCAGACTGAGTGCCAAAGCCTAGGGTTTTCACCATCACTTTCTACTTCTGTCTAAAATAACACACTATATATACACGACAATGCAAACATCTGTAACACTGATTTGCATTATTAACTAAATTCATTTACACAAGGCAACGTAGGTCATTCTGCAAACAAATGATATGAAAATGCACATAACTATTCCTCCACTTAAGTAGTTTCAAATCTAAAGAGTGTTAACATAAATAGCTTTGATGCAAGACACACTAGGTGTCATATGGGTTTTTTTTTTAATCTAAAAAAGAATTATTGTTCAGAGAAACTCAGAAGGGCAGAGTGGGAATAGGTGAAAGACTATTTACACGTTTTCTGAAAATAAGGTAGCATTTTTTGGAGTCTTCAGACAGACACAGAGTCAGAAGTCTTACATTTAAAACCTTGACCTGGTCTTGCTCAAGTTAATTAACCTCTTTGAGGCTTTTTGGATTTATCTCACAGTTATTGTCAATAGTCAGTAAGAACAAATGCATTTTAGCCAGGACTTTTTCAGTAAGAGATTGAATGTGATTGAATTAGATCAAGCATCAAAGTTTTTCAGAGGGGTACTGAAATAAATGAAGCCAATTTTAGAAACTATAACAGCTTTAGGGGGCTTTAGGAATTGGAACTGGGACTCTGACTGGCTCAGTTTGGGTCACTTGCCAATGAAGGGAGGCTAAGATTGGTCAGGCCTGAGCCCGCAGCCAGGGAAATGAAATTAGACTGGCAGCCCTACCAGAATCATGAAGTTCCCAAAAGGGCAGACTGAAGAACAAACAGATGCCAGAGGAAACTAAAAAGGATATCACAAACATAAGTGCTAATAAATACAAATAATGACATGAATAGACACAAATGGACATGTCCCACATTCTAGGCACTGTTCTAAGTATATCACATGTAGTATGTAGTAAAATGCTTCGAGGAAAGTACAGGCTACGTGCTGGGTACTTATTTGAATGTAATGTAGGAGAGGAGTGGGGTAGTAGTGAAGAGGTCTCAGATGATGAAAAGCCTTGAATGGAAGGCTAAGGTTGTATTTAATTTTATTAACAAGTCAGAGCCAATGCAGTTTGTCAAAGCACTGAAGAGCAAGTGACACTATGGAACAGTGGAAAGGCACCGGCATGGGAACCAGGAGATCTGAGTTCAAAGCACAGAGAGCAACACAGTCACATTTCTATATTAGGATAACTAATGTGGATTAGAGGAGGTAGAAATGGGAGGTGGAGAATTTAATTAATACGCCATTTCAAGTGAAATTCAGCAAAGATGTAGTAGTAGCAATGGAAAGGAAAACAAAAACAAAAACAAATGGCATTGGAAAAGTCAAACTGTCAGTAAACAGAGATGGATATGAGGGATAAGACTTCCAAATGGCTAAAAAGTTCCCCACTGAAGGATTACATGATGATGGTACTTAGTAGTTAAAACGGCAGAGTTATGTGAGAACTGATTTAAAGGGACTGATGATGAATTTGGCTTATTAACCAGTATGTGGAGCCCAGAAAACTCAAACTTCTGGAGTAGATGAAATTACAAAAAGACAAGAACACAGAGAAAGAAGAAACGAAGATACAACAGACTGATACTTAAATTCTAATGCAAAATGTGTTTAGTCAACAGGTTTGTAAAATTTTAAAAATGTAAATTTATTAGGATTTATTAGTAACACAATTACACAGAATAAAGTTCAGAAGTTCATCAATGATGGTCACCAATATGTGCTTCTTTGTGACTTTTAAAACCATTTTTCTCATGATTCAAATTTATTCATATTATAGTTGAATTTCATACATAACTTCACAATGTGGAGAGTACAGGTCTTCCATCAGTAAAATCAATGAAAACATATCTTTCATGAAAGGCACATAAAGAATCTAATACATTTAAGGAATTTTGATAACTTTGAATTCCTTTATATTACAAAAAAGAAAATCCCCCAAATGAAACAGACACGAATGTAATTTATGGTTACCCTCCCACACACCAATACTTTAACAAATATACTTTAACAAAATGATGACACATAAACTAAGAAACTACTTACCAGTGATGCTTACTGAAAGACTAGTATTTTCAAGATGAGTAAAAAAAGGGAGGTAGGATGGGGAGTGCTGTTCATTTTGCTGAAACAAGGTCACAGAAACACATTGTGAAAAGTCAAAAGAAAATTATTCTATCAAAATTCAGTATCTACCTCTTATGTAACACTTATTGAGCATACAATCACTGACTTTATTAAATACTATTACTCATTTTCTAAGTGTAATTGTCCATTTTATTCTCAGAAATAATAGCATAATTTAAAAAGAAATAATAGAAACTCGAGCAAGTGGAACGAATTTGAATATCTTGGGAAAAAAGTAATTCTAACATCATGTGATAATTAAATTTGAAATTAGTTACATATATAAATTTAAAGCTTGCATTACATCAGCAACAGAATATTCAAAGATCTTTTTTGTTATCTTCCAAACAAGAAACTATCATGTTTGCTAGGTACAGGGGACTTCCCAAAGGAAATACACAAATGAATGTCTCAAAATTCATTATGCTGACATTTGTGTTGCCCACAAAAATCCTCTCAAGATCCACCTAAACTTAGTTATAAATAAAAATGTAGTTATTTAAAATGTATAAAAATTAATCTGATATCACCTTTAAGGCAATGAATGAATACTAGCCAAATATTAAAATTCAAAGTGAAAACAAAGTGAATAAAAATTAAGTGTTTATAAGTCTAGAGAGCATATCCTCAAAAATCTGGACTTCTAGTTTTTCAAACCAAATCTAATGTGGAATCTATGTAAAAATCAAATTGTTATTTTCGTAAAAGAAAAATCAAAATGCACACAATTTAAATAATTGATCCAAAGTCAGGTACAGTCATCCTCTTTAAGAACTTTTCAATAAAACACATTAAATTTAAAGAACAAATCATGTTATTAAAATAGTCTGTGCAATGTTTGTACAAATAACACTTTTTATGAATACAAGTATACATATAATCAAGATAAGGGCTGCAATGTTTTCTAATATTAATTACTGTACTTAAAAATTTACAGGACACAAACATAAATAAATCTGTTTAAAACTGGCAAACATAGTAATGGTCTGTCATTCAGTACAAGGTACTTAATATTTATGTTATTTCCAAAGCCATCACACTAGAATTGTAAGTTGCCACTCTTAAAACCTAAAAGTAATGTGAGAAACTAAAGTCATAAATACATGTATACATACATTTGCATATTTACACTTACACAGAAATCATCAATATACTAGAGCCCAGCTGTAACACCGTCCTTCGGTTTCACACTACAGGACCATCTTTCACATTTAAGAACAGTCCCCCTGTTACTTTCACTTAAAAAAACAAAACAGAACAACTTTGGTCAGATCCCAGATGCATTTGCTGTATACTACATTCTGTGTTGCTGCAAGACTCTAGTCTAGAGAGATCCATATATAAGTACTCATTTGGTTTGAAAATGCATTTTACCGTTAACTGCAAAACTTAGAAGAGACCACAATCTTTTAGATTATTTTTTATGATGACATCTGTTACAGCATCAAAAACAAATTGCACATTCTTAGTATCTGTGGCACATGTGAAGTGGGTGTATATTTCCTTTGTGTCCTTTCTTTTATTGAGGTCTTCAAACTGACACTGAATATATGCAGCTGCCTCTTCATATGTGTTTGATCCTGAGATGGGAAAAGGAAAGAAATACAATGCAAAAAGTTAAAATAATAAGTATACTACTAAGCAAAATGGACTTTAAAACACGAAAGCCAGTTTTATATATATAAAAATATGTGAATGCCTTAACTGCGTTTTCCCTTCTAGAATGGGAAATACTATTTCTTCTAAATGAAAAATACCCCATGTTAATTACCTTTTAATGACTATAAGTTATTCCTAAAATTAAAAAAAAAAAAAATCTCATTTCCATAGCATTCCATGTTTGCCACAGTCTTTGTTCCTGCCTTGGTCTCCAAATGCCAGATCGTCTTTTTTCTCTTAACCCTTGTCCTCTGCACACCAACACTGAACTTCAGGTGCCTGACGGTGGCATGTTATTTCAGGTCTTGTCCAGTGGTGGATAAAGAAATGTTGACTGAAGGCTGATCAGTATTTTTTATTCCTTTTCCTATATATACATTAACTGGCATTTCTCCCTCATTTTTCTTTATTCAAAAATTTTACAAGGGTCTACAACATAGTTCATGGCTATGAGGTTACAATAAAGTGAACAACACACTCCTGCTTTCAGGTTATTGACTAAAGACTTCCTCTATGTACAAATGCTTCAGAAACTGTTTGGCAGTATCTAAAGATAATCACATGCATACTCTGACCCCACAATTCAGTATCTAGGTGTACTCTTGATAGAACTATATACATGTATACGTTCACCAGCAGACATAAAAAGATTGTTAATAGCAGCACTAACTTTTAGTTTAAGAAACGACCTAGAAGTTTATCAATTGTAGCTGGCTAATAAATTCTAATATATTCATACGATGAGCTGACATACAGTAATACAGAATGAGAATCAAAGTACTACTGCTACATACAGTAACATGGATGAATATCATGAACATACTGTTGAACAAAAGAAGCCAGGCACAAAAAGAATATATACTGTATGATCCAACCAATGTTTGAAAAATAATCAAAATGAATTGATAAGGACAAAAGTCAAGATAATGATTACTCGGTGGCTGGCAGAGGGGACGCAGTGTTTGACTAGTTAAGACTGGGAGGAGGTATGATGGGGCTCCTGGGGTTCTGGAAATGTTCTATTTCTTGACCTGAGTAGTGGATATTGGTATGCTCACTTTTAAAAACTTAATGAGCTTCACACTTATGCTAAGGCGTGTGTGTATATGTACATATGTGTGTACATGTATATACATAATATTGGAATATATATTAATATATACAATGTAATAGTACATATAATAGTTGAAAAAAATGTTCATTTAAAAAAAATGTTTACATTCCTCTTTTGCAGTAGTAATCCATTCTGCTAGGCTGTCAAGGTCCTCTACTACCCAGCCTGCTCTATAGTGCCATTCTGAGATCCTCTAGTCCACATGTGGGCCTCACTCCAGGTCACGAGGATCCCAAACGCAAACCGCCACCTGTGGTATTGCAGTGCGGCCCCTTCGCTGTACTTCATCAGCTGAGGTCTCTGACTACCTCCACATTGGCTCAAAATTGGCAGTCCACGTAACTTTTCCTAATGAATCAAATCCAGATGGGTTCTCCATTGCTTAAAAATGTTTTCCCCTCTTAAATACTATAGAAACATTCTATATTTCAGTTTTTCTTATACTGTTTTACAGAGTTTTCAATTCTTTTTCAGCGTTAAGTCTTCTAAACTAGAAGAATAAATATCACATTCCACAGCCCCCATCTTCCTTTTATATCTCACATACTCTTTGTACAATACAATGTGACAAACACCCATAAGGATGTTGTGCTTAAAATGCTATGACAGCATAAATTATGGAACTCGTTATATTAGAGATAAAAAGGTAATAAAACCAGTCTCTCAATAAGTTTACATTTTAACTCTTTAATGTCACTAGCAAACAACCATATATGTTTAAAAATAAAATTCTATTTTGTTCAATCATAATAAGTTGTTGCTCCAAAATTCTAAAGCAATAAACGATGTCTTATTGGTCCACAGACACTCATGAAACCATGAAATATATGTTTTCAGGATATAGTTTACACTGAGTGAATAGCTCAATTTGCTGTATACTTTGGGTAGCTAAGTAGATTATTGTACTCCAAAAGCTACAAGATACATGAATGAATGAACATTCCTCAATCTGATTTTAAGTCTTAAGAAAAGAAGACAGTGAAGTGGGGGCAGGGAAGAGGAAATGTGATATGGAATCTGGTGCAATGGCAATATACTGTAAAAAGAAGAGGAGGAGGAAGAGACAGGAACAGACAGAGATAGGAGATAAATCAAGTGAGTAGCAGGGGCGGGCTACACAGTGTTCTTCTATAGGGAGCAATAGTCATAGGAATTGAGAGTTAGGGGTGAAGCAAGAAGCAACTGAATCAATACTTAAGGCATGAAGTAGAGATTTTAAATTATGATCTTAACACTAGAGATGTGAAAGAATTATGTAATATTCTTTTTGTGCAAAGATTCTGAGCTCAGGCATTCTTATTAACTTGATAACATAAGCAAAAATTCTTGAACACACTCTACATCTGGCAAGGAAAGAGCTAACAAGTATATTATTGGCTGCTCTAAAGTCCCTGTAGGTAGACAATATTTATGGACTCATTTGGGACACTCTGGTGATATGAATTAGTACAAAATGGCTATCATCATAGGAAATGATAAAAATAAACTGAAACGGAGTTTCAAGTAAGGGAAGAACCAAGTCACCTTGATTCTGCATAATTTCAATCTTGAAGTTACAGTTACAAATAATTTTATTCCTAACAAAACACTAAAAATGTTTCTGAATAGGGCGACTTAGGATACAACGACTTTCAAAAAGAAAGCAAAAGTTTTTAAGCGTGAAATAATTTTGAACTGAAGTGTAACTTCACGGTATACAAAAAAGGCTGTAATAATAAGTAACATGATTATATTTATCAAAGGACCCTCTCCCCTTGGTTCCAGTGAGAATTTAATTAAATGTAGCCTAGTTGTTAGTGGCCTGGGAGCAGAGGCGCAACGGACTTGGGTCCGGAATCGGGCTCCGTGCCTTCATCAAGCCCCAGTGTTTTCACAGGTGTTCTGCATGAGTGGGGATATCCAAGCACTGACATCACAGGACTATCCTAACATTGCCTGTGAAATGGCAGTAAATATTCATATTCATCGTACAATTTACTCAATACAACCCTAAAGTTTTGTTTATAATGAAACAAGTTCCTGACCTTTTTTTTTCAAACAGGAAGGATGGAGTAAGGGTAAGTAACTAACTAAACTCTGCAGACTATCTAGATTCAGAGACAATATAAACCAATGATAGTCAAAAAGACCTCTTTTTTTTTTTTAAGGCATAGAGTTCTCTTTGCTAACATAAAATTTTATTCCAGAAGCCCAATATGTAAAACAGATGAAAGGTGAGTTTCTCTGCTTTAATGAGAAAGGGATTGTGAGGGGCGGCGGGGAGGGAGGAGTAGCTATGCCCACCTCCACCACCTTGTTCTATAGCAACCACGAGGTACGCCAAGGAACTAAACTAAACTAAACCCAGTGTTTTAGTCCAACTCCCGATTTTGCAGATGGAGTACTGAGACCTAGGTAAATTAACTGTTTTGTTCAAGATTAAATAGCTAATTATGAAAAAGCCAGGACTGTACTTCAGGTCTACTTTTCTCACTCCAGGGCATTTTTCATGGTAGTAAAATTAAAGTACCATTATTAACAGTATCATTACTAAAGTTTAGATTTCCTGTGAAAACTTTCCCAACTCTCTGGAAGAGTTAGCTGCCTCACTGATTTCTTCATTTTTCCTCTTATGATAATAATGTTCATGTTCCTTTTTGGCAGTATGTTCTACTGCTATTGCTTGTTTTTTGTTTTTTAGTATGTTTGTCTTTGACATCAGACATTGAGCAGATACATGTCTGTCTTACTGTACGTCACAGAATACCTGACATAGGATCTGTTAACTGAATGAGCAAACCAATTGTTTAAATTTATGAAAACCTGGAGTAGTCACTGAAAGATATCTAATAGCTTTTCCATAAAATGAATATTTTCAGTAATCTCATCCATATTTTAAGAAACTGTGCTCAAATGCAGCTTGATAAACAACATCCCTTAAAGGCATAAAAATTACTAAGCCAAGAGATTCAAATCAACAACTGAAATCTTGCCTTGGGGAAAGTTTCTTAGAAATACATGACTTAATAAGTTATTTACAGAAAGTAAAATACCTCCATATTCTGGATAGCATATAGTGAGAGGGCTCTTTTTTATTTTTTCCTCGAAGAGATCCTTCTTGTTTAGAAAAAGTATAATAGACGTATCTGTAAACCACTTGTTGTTACATATGCTGTCGAACAACTTCATGCTTTCATGCATTCGATTCTGCAACAGAAAAAAAACGAGACCAATTTGTTAGTAACAGCAAAGATTTTGAGAAATAATTTTAAAAAATAACAAGAATGGTAATTAAGCCGAGTTTCTTGAAAAGTTGACAAGATAACACAAAAATACAATTCTGCCATTTCAGAACAAGCACACTTTCACTTTAGGCCGGACAAGTGACGAACCATCACTCATCACTTTCTGCATTCAGCCATTACTTGCTGAGTGTCCACTGTGTCGTGTGCTGTGCCTGGACACATCCTGCTGCAGGATGTTATAATCTAGGCACGTTGGTGTGAACATCTGAAAAGAAATGTCATTGTTACAGAGTTCATCTAAGTTTCCATTAAAAGATAGGTAGAAGGTTTTTAAAGATTAATAAATTAAATTGAATAAGCTGAAACTCAATTAGCCCCAAACTCTAAATATTAGGGAAGGAGACCTCCAATTCCGTTTCCCGCCCTTGCAGGATGTGCATTCAAAAAGGGTACGGATACATTTTTTAGTGCCGAAATGAGAGAAATGACCCTGTGGTCTACCACACTGTAATTGAATATATTTGATTTTAAAAATACAAAATTGGCATTTCTACCTCTTTTTTCTCACTTTGTACTAAAGTTAATTTGAAATGACAGTTTTAAATTTCTATGCTTGTAGCTCTGACTTGGGCAGTACAAAGGCAATACATGTAACCAAAGTGTTTGTGCCCCTGTAATATTCTGAAATTAAAAAATAAATTTCTACTTAAAAATATTTCCCTCAGATTAATGGTATATTGAAACACATCTTAAAATTACATGGCAGTAGCAAAGCATAACATATATCAAAGATTACTAAACTGGCAGAAGTAACAAATGATGTAAAATCAGCCTTAGGCAACTATGTAACCAACTTTATTTTCATTCGGTATGTAGATACCAGATATAGAAAAGGTTGCTGCACAGTTAAGCTTATAGGGTTGAGGTGAGATTGACTCTCAGTGTTTCTTTTTCTCCAACTCCATCTGTGCTTCTTTAGTAAACTTCCCTTTTCTTACGCAAACAGAAAAGTTACAGGAAAGACTGTGAACTTTCAAATAATTCAGGCATTAGTAAGAATTCCTCAAGAATTTTTCTTAGAAAAAGCATTGGCAACATTGCCAGCTCTTCATATTTTATGCTCAACCCTTAAAAGTGGTTCCACTTGCCATTTCTTCATCTTCAGCCAGAACCAGGTCATAGTCACTCAGAGCCACACAGAAGATGATGGCGGTCACTCCTTCGAAGCAATGAATCCACTTCTTCCGCTCAGATCTCTGACCACCCACATCGAACATTCTGTCAGAGGAAAAATAATGAGTTGCCATCACATTAAATGTTCAAAAGCTCTGAGGAGTTCTGTAATGCTAACAAAAAAGCTCCAGATAGCTGGGGGAATGAACATAAGATGGGAGGAAAGGAGACAAGGACTTTATGGGAGGAAAACAATGTCACAAATTGGCTTTCTCAAAGGGGAAAAAAGTCTGCTGGCTTTTTTAAAATTTTTGATTGAGGGGATAGAGGGTATCTCTGAAACAAAAGCAAAAACAAAAATACCCTCAGAAAACAAGACATTCGCTAACATAGGAGAATATTTAGAATGTTAAAGCAAATACAAATGAATAGACTGCGCTATGTGTAAACACTAAGAAGTCACATAAAGCAAGTGGGGAGTCCAGAGGTCAAAGAGCACATATTCAATCTACCATAGTCACAGAATATTAGAGGCCAAGGACATGGCCTCTCTCTTCCTACTACAAAACAGTGTTTTCTCTCAGAGCAATAAATAGGACTATGATGTAAAAGAGAAACCATTCCAAGTAAGAAAATACAGGGCCAGCAAATCGAATTCAGATGGGGCAAACAGGTTTGCCTACTTTAAAAAAATAAAACCATGGTATAGAAAAAAATGAGAGAACTGAAATATGAAATACATGGGTGGCCCAAGTGAATAGCCTTGAAATTGAGAGTGAAAAAATTCAATTTTTATATGATATGAACCTTTGTAGGTTAGTGAATGAGGTAGTAACACATCAATGAATATAAAGACAATGATTTTTCCTCTTTTTTTCTTGTAAGAGTTTATAAAGTTAAACAAAAGTTTAAATTTGCACTGACTACATTATGCAACCTAGAAATAACCACTTATATAATGAAAACACTATGTGAACTGGTACATTTTTAAAGGTTCCATTTATCTAGATGGTACACTAATTAAAATAGTCCCTATTTAATTCCCAGGCAAAAAGAATTTTCCCCACAGAGCGGTATTGGCCTATAAACTGAATCTGAGTACATTAGCTAGTATTGTTACTTTTATCACCACTTAAGAGGTCTTCATTCTTTTGGTTTAGTTAGTATATTGTTCATTAAGTTTAAGTATGCTATATAACAAAATGTTTCTATCACATAACAAATCAAAATGGTTAAGATACAAAAAGGAAAGCTGGCAATAAAGATTAAACAAGAACAAAATAAAAGAAAATAAAATGATTTTAATTGGGTAATCATCTGTTAAACTCTCTAGGAATACAATTTGAAAATAAATTTACCAAAAAGATAATCTATCTTAGATAACTTCTCTGATTAAATGTCACATATATCCCCTCCACCCAATACAGATATAAAATAACAACCCAACCTACTCTAACCCACTCTATCCCTACTCTATCTGTGATGGTTAGTTTTGTATATTGGTCATAAACAAAGGACTTTTAGTCTAAGCCAGTGGTTCTCAAACTTTGGTGAGACTCAGAATCACCAGGTGGAAGATACTGATGTTACTGGTCTAGAGACCAATCCTTTTGAGAATTAATCCGTAAGCCAGGGAGCAAAAATGATGAAGAACTGATATTACAAATGATCAGACTATGCTTAACAGTTTATTAGCATTGAGAAAAAACTAGATGAAGATAATACCTAGAAGAAACACTAATTGTTCACTGCTCCACACAAACAGACAAAAGAAAATCGCTTAATTATTTTATATACTGTTCTTTAAATTGTGAGCTTCTATTTTTAAGAAAAACAGAACAAAAAATGTGGTATGTTCTCCTTTATATGGAAAGATGAGACTTTTGACTAACATCAAATAGGAAGTGAATTTGAGTTTTCTTAAGGGATTTTTGGAGGGTGGAGTGGAAGAAGATGCTGGAAATCCTACGAGGTGCTGACTTATCCTTAGACTAAGATCTAATAGTACTGTGACCAAAACTGACTAGTACAAAGCTATCTGACCATACGTGGCTATCAAACTCATACATACAATGTTGTATTCCAAAATCCATCACGCATTTATACTACCACAGAAAACGAATACAATTTGTCTTATGATAATTTTATAGTAGAAGGGATACTTTATATCTGACAAAAATATTATAGTAAAATAAAACTGTTGATTCTTTAATTAAAGCCAAATACTCCACAGAGACATTGGCCATTAAGTGCCTAGTCACAGAGGTGATAATATGAATTCTTAAAATATCCTATTGCCTCATTTTGAATTTAATACCAATCGTACAAAAAGATAAGTGAAACTGAAATTTTACTTAGCAGTTAAAATCAAAGAATTACAACACAAAACACAAAACTACAAAATGATGACCACACTTGAGAGTTCCCAGAAGAATTATTCTATAAGCATTTCTGCACTCATTCATCTGAGATTCATTTAACATGGAAAAAGCAAAGGTTGAACTATATGTTAGCGATGATAGTAATTTAACAGAATTCAAATCCAAACTAAGACAAAGTTTATCCGAAGTTCCTAACAAACCTGTGTTTATCTTTAAGTCAGCAAATGAAAACAGTAACTAAATATATCCTTTGAAATTCTATGTCATCCAAGGAGTTTAAATGGAGTAAGACAAATGGACTTCCTGGAAGATCATGATGAGAGTCAGTTTTACTGAATGCTGTTGAAATGACAATTTTGAAAACCTAGGCTGGAAGTGATAAGTGTGCTCTGGAAATAAATGTTTAAGAATCCATCTAATCAAGATTAAAAGGGAATTTTATACAGTCAGATTGCCTTAAGTACCAAATAACTGATTTAACATTTGCCATTGCCATTTATTATCATTTACAGAGTTCTCACCTTTGTAACATTTTTTATAGGCAATAACTCATTTTATCTTTAAGCCTGTGATAAAGGGCAAGATTGCAATAGTCTCTCTGTTAAGAATTTTAACCAAGTTTGCTAAACTAATTAAAAGAGGAAATTAGGTCTAGAACACTTACTTGCTAACCCCAACTCCATGAATTTTCTCCTCAGATTATACAGGTTAGAAATACAATAGTCCCTCCCCCCAGCCCCCTCTTCCATGGTTTCACTTTCTGCAGTTTCAGTTACCTGCAGTCAACCATGGTCTGAAAATACTTACAATATTTTGAGAGACATAGACAACATTCACATAACTTTTATTACAGTATATTGTTATAACTGTTCTATTTTATTAGTAGTAATTACTGTTAGTCTCTTACTGTGCCTAATTTATAAAGTAAACTTTATCATAGGTATGTATGTATAGGAACAAACATAGTTTGTGTGTGCATATAGGAGTCATTACTATCAGTGATTTCAGAAATCCACCCAAGGTCTTGGAATGTATCTCCACAGATAACGTGGAAGTACTATAAGCCATTAACTAAATATAATTTAAGTTTGCTTTAGAACACGGTTATCAAAACAAAGTAAACAAAAAAAAAAATCAGAATCTAAAGTACACTAGGTTTAAAAGTTTAAAGTCTCATTCTAACAGTATGCTTATCTATGATTAAAATCACTTCACACTTTTAAGATAAATATGACAGTAGTCCTCAGATCAGACACGTCATTTAATATTCTAGATGTAGTAGCGAGCAGACTGAAAGAAGGCAAGTGATTTCAATAAAAGATAATATCAGTAGCAAAAAATGTCCACTGAGAGCTTACGAAAAAATGAAAACAGAAAAAAATTAAAAGTATATGCAAAACCATACCATATACTAAAGCATAATGTTAATGTTGCCAGATAAACTAAATTATAATCTATATCTTTGTTTAAGAAAGCAGGGCAATGTTTGTTTCTTGAGGAGAGGTGGTCATGGAAAATTGAAATTAAACTTTAGTTCTCCAGAAATTCAATTACATAAACCAGTGATAAATTAGTCACAAATGATAGTAACAGATATACTATGCTTAAAATACTTAGGAGAAGCAATCAGAGCTATCGTTGCATACATTTAACTGTGCTCACAATTTGTAACAGTTAACTTTCTTTATCAGGTGAACTGATAATTATCTCTGACTAGGAAGCTTTTTTCAAGATGCTTTTGGAAATTCTGCTTTATTATCATTACTGTTTCAGAGCATTACAAACAAAAATTCGTAATTCATATTAAAGGTTTATTTAGAATTATTATCTTGAATCGTATAATTTTTAATCAAAGTAAAAGGAAAAATAATTTCACTAACAATATAGGATACTCCCTTTGCAAACCATATGCAGATAAATTACTTTTTGACAAACTAAGAATCATTTAACAGTTTATTATTTTTGCTTTTTTATCTTCTATTCATTCTACTTTTTTGTTATTGTGGGAATGGAGTAGGATAAAAGCTAAGGGGATATTGTTAACACAGACTTGTGAAGCTTGAATTTCTATGAAGAAACCAAAAACCTCCACTAAACATAATCTTGAAAAAAATATATCACAAGCAGATAACAAATGATTTATCTAATTCCTCATAGTACAAAAAATATTAAAACTCAGAAAAATATGGAGTATGAAAATGACAAAAATTTTCACAAAAAATAAAACACATGTCTTTACTAATCTGATTTTCTGCAGTGACAACTGGAGAGTGCTCAGTTTGAGTCAACATATCTATAAAGCTCTGCAGAAGTGAGATGGCATCTAACCAGTACCCACGACTGCAGCTGCATCTTCCTTAAAATCAATCACAACCTAGTTGGGTTAAAACAACAACAACAACAAAAAAACCTATCTGTTAAACTAAGAAAATTAATAAGAATGAAAAAAACCCCTATATATCTACAATGCACTTAATTCTAGTATTTTTATTATTTTTACTTCCAAGAATATTAGTGAAAATTTATATGGTATAGGGAATGTAGGAAATGCATGAGTTTTAATGTAGTATGAATAATGTGACTCTATCATATTTATATAAATTAGGCACCGTCAACTCAGAAGGGCCTCCTTCACAAGCTCTTCAAGGGCTCTGTGCTTGGTGTCCCTTCTGCTGAACACTTAACTGGCACTTAGAAAATGTGACATTTAAATGAATCTGAATTATGACAAACTAGCAGATTTTAAAAAAGAACTTCTGCTAGCCCCTTTCTTTAGCTTCAACATACGAAAACAAATAATACTAAGGGGGGAAAAAAGAAATACGTGTAAATTATTTTTAATGGGTATTTTTTAAGCTCAAGTAACACGACAGTCCTCTGAGATTTCTATGAAAACACAAGTTTTGTTTTAGTAGCACTTTTTCCATAATTTTATTGTTATTAACTAGAATAAGGTGATTAGAAATGATGAATAGTAATGCACAATTAACAGCAATTTTGATTGAGTGAACAGTGAAATTATTTTGAAGAAGAAAGTCATGATACCTAAAATCAGGTAGCAGATGACCTGGAAGGGTAAAACAGATTAAGTAACTGACAGGGAAGGCTGTATAGATAAAACAAGAATCTGAAAATCAAAATATTACATTTGGTTGTAAGTCTAACAGTTTTTCTCATACCTTGAAGGCTGTTATTTATTGGAAAAAGAGAAATGCAGTTCTGCACATTGGAATGTAATGTTTCACTAAACGTGCCTGAGCCTGGTTCCTTATAAAATGAGGGGACTGGACAAAATGAACTCCAAGATCCCCTCCATTTCTAATGACTACAATTCAGTGTGTGTCTGCTCAGACCTCAGTAAGTTAATATCCAGTACACTTTCAATTAAATGAACATGAAAAAGTGCAAACATCAGCTCCCTATGAATAAAAATTCTCATGAAAAATTTTAAAAAGGTACACCCTTTTTTTAAAAAACATTTCCATAAATAAGCATATGTTCTATCAGTAAAACTCTTTTAACCTAAAAATAAATGGCAACACTTTCCCGAAACACACTATATTAGAGAGTATTTTCTATTTAGAAATTGAAGCCAAAAACTATTTTTGTTTAAATCACTGTAAAAACTATAGCAAAGGAATTTGCCTGGCTATTTTTTCTTGAATAAAAATAAAAATATTCTTCCTAAAAATGCTTCTTTTTGCCCTCTTTCACTTCAAAATTCTTTTGTCTAATCATCTAAGAAAAGCTTCCTTCGAACTATAATTTCTAACTGTAAAAATGCTGTAAACTGTTATTATACCTTTTATTTCTAAAGCAATGTGTTTTACTTTAAATTTAGAAATCATGTTTCAAAGTTACTCACTTAAAATGAAGATCTTTAAAAGTAAAGTGGGTTTCAACAATTCCTGTAGTTTTCACTCTAGTTCTGAGAACATCTTGTTGAGTTGGGATATAATTTGGTTGTGCTATTCTGTCCAAGTCATTCAAATAGCTGAAAAATATAAGCAAAACAATATGTTAACAGTAAATATAGTCAATAAAGATCATCTTAAAGAGTAAAACACATTTCAATGCATGCAATACTCTGAAACCACTAAGTTTTTAAATTTCTGTGTAATGATATAAAACAACCAGTTTAACCTTTTTTATCTTATATAACTCCCGGTGAAAATTAAAATGTCTATTCTCCTCCAGCCACAAAGCTCTTTTAGTATTTTTAAAATGTGTACACTGTTTCTTAAGGACAGTGATTAGTAATTCAAAGGAAAGAGAATAACTTTTTTAAAAGACACCCAAACTAATGCACAACATGAGTTTGTTTCTAAAAATTCTTTATTACAGTTTTTAGGCATCACCGTGTTCCAGACATCACTCTTTTGTTGAAGATTTTAAAAGTCTTAATTTTTGAGCAAGTAATGAGGAAATCCCTGACCAACGGCTGAACGGGATGTTTCTTTTCAACCAGTGTTATGTTACATACAGGAAAACACTGTACATGCTCCTTTACTCTACATTTTACTGCTCTCTAAATCAATACCCATAATAGTCACTCATCTAATACTTTCTGCCAGTGATGCTAAATATGTTGTGATATAAAAATATAATGGTATCATACCATTCAATGTAAATTATTTTTTGTTAAATTATAAGGTAGAGTCAGTAATTCACAACAAGTCCAGGTATGGAGAGATTAATGTGGACCCATATGATTAAAGGAGGATTCACTAATAGTGAGGGGTACAAAGAGAAACATAAATAACGGAACAGAAAAAAGGGAATGTTACTGCTACTAGGAGAAGCTGTAAGTCAGCATAGAGTCAAAAATAGTCACACCTTCTTTCTTAGAGAGTAAGGCCACTAGTAAGTTATGTGCAACCTAAAATGAGGAGTCTGAAATCAGTCCTAAGGTAAGCTGGATGTGGGGAGCATCACTGTACATTCTGTAATACTAGAGTAGTAACATGACCAATAATTTAGAACATGTATGTAGGTAATAGAGAGGTGCCAACTATTGAAATTTTAAATTGATTTTACCCTCTGAAACTGTTGTTTGGCCATTTAGAACCTGGTCTTGCAAACAAAAGGAGCTCAATTTCTTTGATTTGTTGGGGATAGAGTTGGAAAACTATCCAAATACTAAATTAGTAACAAAAAATGTTTCAGACAGTCAAGTGTATGTAGTGGTGTTGATACTAAAATACACAGAGAGATGATAGTTTGAGTTACCTATTATTTACTGAATTTAAGAGAATTTTATTATCACGTTGGTGATAATCTCCCTATACTTTATCTGTGCTTTTAATTCTACATACATAACATTTTACTGTAATAAAACTGGATTTAATAAACAAGTAAAACAAGCCATGACAAGATTTTACTGATTATCCCTTTAAAATAGTGAGTAACTGATTTAAAACACGCTCTAGTTACTCACAGATAGATTCTCTTGCTTAAAAATGCCATAGTTCTGATAGTCTCTAAAAATAATACATATTTATATCTCGACAAGACAAAAAAGGAAAAAAAACTGTACTGTGAAAAATCCAATTGTTTTAAATGATCAAAGTCCTAATGAGCAACCTGAGAGCAACCCACCAACTCAGGAACTCAGAAATCAAGATGCTTTTTAACCAATATGGAGAAGAAGGTTTCTATCACTTCCTTCATTCTTAAAAAATGGCTGCATTATTCCATCTTAAGGTCAGAATTACTAGAAACGAAATAATGGGAAGCTGAAGCAACACATTTTTCTCAATGTATTTCCAAGTAGTATGCACAGGAGAGAGGGTCTTGGTCAAGAGACTGAGGGAGTCTAGAAGTCCCTCCCAAACACTGAGGAAGAGGACTTGAACCTACCATCACCAAGTAGCACCCCTTAATTACTGAAGTAGCTCTTTGTGCTGGGCTCAGCTCAGAATAATCTTCTCACTACAATAGTGATTCCTATTTAAATATCTCTGCAAATGCTACAGTGGTGCCAAAGTAAATATTATATCTTAAGTGTTGTGTTCTTCCTCTAAGTAATTTTCCTAATTTCTCTTTTAACCTCTGTGAAGTCTTGTTTATTAATTCATTCATTATTAAACAATATCATATTGAGAGATGACTATATGGGGATATACCATCAGGCAAAAACAGACATTACTGAACTTACAGTGTAGTGGCAAAGATAGAAAATAATCAAAGAGTCAGAACGTAAATATGAATCAAATAACCTCAAAATAAATGTAAATCTGAAGGAAAAGTACATGACGTTATGAGTACTCAGTGGGTAAAAGAATATTTCCTCGTAGAAGTGATAGTATCAGTTGGAGGAATGGGCTATATATTCATTATGAGTAAGTTATATATATATATAAACCACGTATGTAATAATACATATGATTTATACAAGTATGAAATGTAGAGTACGAAATGTATGTTCATAAAGATTGCCGTGGGTGATACAATGTGTATGATTATTCACTCACACTAAATCATGCAATACATAGTGCCTACTCTGACATTCAATAAATAATGTATCTTAAGATAATTAGGTCCTCAGTAACCATACTCCATTTGTTTTCTTCACTGTGGCAAAGTGCATACATTTACCTAGACCTTCCAATACCAGTAATATTCTATCTAATCCTTACTTGTGTCCCTAAGAGCCAACAGCTCTCTGTCAAGAAAATGGAACACTGTTGGAAAATAATATAAATGCACAGCATATGTTTTAAAGACCAAATAATGCTACACATATCTTATCTGACATTTTTGAGAATGTGTATCAAATTATGGAAATAAACATTTGATTTTTTAAAATTCTATGTAGATTACCAAACAGAAAGCTCCCTGATTAGGTTTTATCATAGCTTGCTTTGCAAACTTTCTGGGGCCACTGCCTGGAAATCAAGGTAAATTTTTTTCCAAAAACTGTACTTAAATATCAGTAAACAGTGTCTAATGCAACAAGGCAAACATGATTGAGAATTTTCAAGTGCAGAGCTGTTCTACTTAGTGAGAAAATCTTAGGATTACCATGCAGCCCTTCAAAATAAATTCCTACTTAAGGTGTCCATCATTGAGCAAGTACCTCTTTTCTCAGGCATCATTAGTATAATGAAAAAAAACTCTAATCAGTTATTCTCTCATTTGGCTAGCTCCAAGCAAAATCAGAGACATACCTAAATTCAGAGTAAATTTTGGGAAATTCCAATTATTTTCTTGGAAATATACTGGAAACAGTCCCATTCTGCATGTTTCAATTAAAATTACATAAAAATGAGTCTCTTGAGACAACACTGAACACATAAGAAATAACAGCAATGCCATCCACAAACATAAAAAAAGACAGAAAGTTTTCAAATATTGTCATCCTGAATATCCTAAGTTGTACAAGAATGTGTCAGCCAATTCTGCAATAAAATTGACCTGGAAGTATATTTGACTTGCAAGTAATTACTCATGACGGTTTAGTTCGAAGTTATGATTACTTACTATGCTGCAGAATCATTAAGCTGGTACTCCCGGGATCTGTTGAAACAGGCTTGTACACCAGTATCTTTCCACAATCTCTTTATAACACCAGCAAGTTCTGCAGTCATAAAGCCTTCCTCAGCAGCTCCAGCAAGCACAAAGAGTTGGCGAGCATCATCCTGAATATTCAAAGAATGTTTTTTAAAGTAAAAAGATAGACATTACAGATAAAAAGTACAAAGGAGATTATAAAGCTTAAAAATGCTATAGTGAATTTCCTTCATGTTTTTTATTGAAGTGTCATAACTTCTCTTTCTCTAAAGTACCACTTAAAATTGGCTTAACCAAAAGATCATAATTATAAACCATAAATGTATGTTTTTTGGTATTGGTAATATCTCTCAAGGCATTAGGAAGCTGAAGAACGACTAAAGTTATAGTTCAGGAAGGGAACATTAACCAACTATTCAGTGACAGCTTGTTGTTGTACTGAAGATGATCATTTCAGAGAAAACAGAAGAACCTATGTCTTGCTACTCCCTTCCCAAAATGCTTCTAATCTACGAAACACATAACACCTTTAGAGATGACTTTAAAATATAGTTAGGTGTTAGCTTTCTCATATACTTTATAGATGCAAAATAAGTTCAGAAAAGAGAGAAATCAATGTGGAGTAAGCAAGAATAGTATCACGGAATGGTCTGAGATTTTCAGGAGACCTTAAAGTAAGCACACAGTAAACTCAATGGGGCAGGATTTGGGAGCAGGTGTTTGCTGATCCAGGCATAGAAAACAACATCAGCGCACAGTTGGAGTAGCAATACTCATGGGGAACAGAAGAAAGCACACAAAATTTATAAAATTAAGAAATACTACATACAAAGTTAAATTTTGAGGCTACTAATATTTACAGTTATTCTGATCTACAAGTAACTAATCACTCTGGATCAGTGCTGTCCAAGAAAAATATAACGTGAGCCACTAATGCAATCTAAATTTTCTAATAAATAGTTAAAAAAGTAAAGGAAAAAAGCCAAATGAAATTAATTTTAACGACATACTTAACCTATATAAAAATATTTCAACATGTAATCAATATAAAATTATTATGAGATAGTTCATATTCTTTTTTTATATGTATTAAGTCTTTGAAACCTGGTGTATATCTTATACATAAAGCACATCTCAATTCAGATTAGACATATTTTAAGTACTCAGTACCACATGTGGGTAGCAGCTACCATACCAGGTAACATAACTCTAGTCTCCAGGTAATAACAGTTAATACAAAAAGAGAGAGATGTGATGTTGCTAGCTTCAGAGAATTCTCTTCAGCCTGAGAAATGTAGCTTTATGTTAACTGGGTGAATGATGCCTAATTTCTCTCAAGAGGCATTCTTCCAAAATGTAGCAGATGCTTATGACATGATGGCACACATTATAAGGTGTACAGAAGAGAAGCAGCATTTAGTGACATAGGCTAGCAGAGTGTACTAGCTGACAGTATAAATTTATCCTGTTGCTAATTTGTGAAAAATTTTCTTTTCAGCTGGAACCCATCATGAAAAATAATTAAGTCTCTCAGCATGGGAACATTATTCAAGCATATGTTTCCCTTTTTAGTAAATCACAAGAGAAATGCATGCAAGCAAGCAACACGTGCACAATATCCTTAATAAACCCCACATAACATGCTTTCGAGTCATTCTTAAGCACCATTAACCTAATTCCAGTAAACAATTATTCAATTTTCCAAACAATTACCTACACATGAGAAATTTCTGAATTTGACCATTTTTATTCATTAAACTTCATCAAACATAATTTCTCTATTTTAGAAAAGTACCACCTAAGTTTTTTTTTTCCACCTAAGTTTTTAAATGAGCTTTCATTATATCTTCATTCAATTTCAATAAAGTTTTTGACAAAAAAAACTAATGCCCTACGCTAGGGTTCATAAAAATCACATTCTCTTCAAACTTTCAGGAAAAGGCCTGAAGAAAAGACATAAACTCTGGAAGCTATATTTATAAATTTCACTCTCTCTGTGGCATTCAAAAATGTCTCTTCTTTTTTTAAATTCCACATATAAGTGAGATCATACAATATTTTTCTTTCTGTGTCTGGCTTATTTCACTTATCATAATGTCCTTCAGGTCTAAAAAAAGAAGAGGGGAAGTCAAATATCCAAAAACAGAATAAAACAGTGGTTTCCACAAGCAGGTGGGAGGAAAAGAAAACGGGGAGGTGTAGTTCAAAGGATAGAAAGTAGCAGATACGTAGGATGAATAAATCTAAAGAACTAATGTACAACATGAGCGCTATAGTTAATAAAATTGTATCAGGTATTTTTGTTAAATAAGTAGATTTTAGCTGCTCTTGGCACAAAAAAAAAAAGGATGTGAGATGATGGATATGTTCATATGCTTCACTATAGTAACCATTTTACCATCTATATGTATCTCATAACATCAAGTTGTAAACATCAAATAACTTTTTTAAAGTCTCTTCCTCACAAAATGAATTAATAAAATAGCCTCCTCTCCTTGAAAAATTGGAGTATTCACCTCCATGTCATTAGCAGAATATTCAGATGTCTGTAGATGAGTTTTCAGATAATAAATTTGAGCAGGAAGGCACTGTAGAAATTATTCTACCTAATCTTTTGTTTAGTATTAAAAGATCCCAAGGCACAGAGAGCTTAAGCAACTTATTGAAGTCCCATGGCTAATTAATCACCTAATCATATAAAAGAGTAAGTCAACAATTAGTAATTAGTCATTGTCTAAAACAGGATTAATTTAAAAACTGCAGAATGATGACAACGATCTTATCTTGCCATGGAACGAGGTCTTTGCAAGATTTATGTGAAATAAAATTACTTAAGAATATTTACAAACATAAACATGAGTGCATCAGAACAGTGTGACACAAGGAAGAAAAAGGATAGGGGATTACTGAAGAGAAGATTGGAGTCTGGTCAGGAGGGCTACAAGTTAGTAAAGCAGTTTAAAGGAACTCTTTTGTGGTGCTAAAAAGAAGAAATGTTATTTGCCAGGCAATCTATTTGAGAGTAGCAAGGAAAAATCCTTGGATGTAGCTAAGGTAAATGTGTTCAAATTACTAATAACTAAAAGAAAATAAGATGATTTACAGAATGTAAATTCCAGTTCACGTAAGTGAGTGCTCTGAAAACTCAAAAAGGAGCTATGAAATGCCATTTTGTCAAGTAGGTCCCCCTTCCAGTGATGGTCAGGAAACACTTGGCATACTGTACTTATTTAGTGACTGCACATTTTCTTTAAAGCTGTCACCAACTTTATAAGAATTCAGAAGAGTCTTCCCAGAATGGGGAAGAGAAGACTTCGAGGGACCATAATGGCTGCCCTCTGACATATTAATAATCATAAAAGGTAAGAAAGAGTTTCTGTTTAGCTACAGAGCAGAAAAAGGAACATTCTTAGAGCAAAAGATATCAGATTTCAACTCAATAAGAGGAACACTTTTTAACAATCAAAGCCATCTAAAAAACAAAAAAGGGAAGGGGAGTGAGAGATTGAGGCTTTTAAGCAAAGGCTAGATGCCTACTGTTATATAAAAGACAGAATTTATGGATGAAATTAAGACTTTAAATAGAAAATATCAGAAAGCCTTTCTAAAACAGAAGTTAAACAATATAATAAAGGAGTGTTAAAAAATAATGACAGCTTTGCAACTTTGGTCGTCAGGATAATATGTTGATATCATGACTGATGTATGTTTGGAAATGCTGTTTCAATGTAGTGTAGTTTAATTATTACACATTAATAACATTAGCCAATTTACATATTTAATCTACCACATTTTTACTGCATGCATTATCATGCCTATAAATCTAAGACAGCCTATACTGTTCTTATACAAATAAGTGTACCCTTCAGGAAATTCCTAAGAACTTTAATGGATTCATCAGTCCATGGCTTATGGTGCCAATATTGGACATTTAAGAGTTGCTTTTAAAAAATACGTAAATATAAAACACATTTTCTCTAAAAACACAAATGTAATCAAATTATAAAAGACTTGAGGCAAGGAAATAGGAAGTCATTTTAATTTTTTCCCATAAGATTGTTCAAAAGGAGGAAAAAGCTTATAAATAAAATAATTTAATTTTAACTAAATTGCAGAGAGCAAAATTTTTGACTAAATTTTAGTGAATTTACCATGAAGCATGAGCTATGTCAAGAAGGGAAATTACTTATGAATGTATTACATATTTATGCATATATTTATACATCCTATAAATGTCTAAATCTATTTTAAATGTATAGACTTTTTTTTAAATTATTTTTTTCTTTTTATTTCAGCATATTATGGGGGTACAGATGTTTAGGTTACATATGTTGCCCTTGGCCCCCCACCAAATCCGAGCTTCAAGCGTGTCCATCCCTCAGATGGTGCGCATCGCACTCTTTGTGTATGCATGTACAAAATTAATAAAATGGAGAATTACTGACATTTAAGTGTTCTTTGTATCAACAACAGAACTTGCTGTCAAAAGAGATATGGAAATATGTGGTAAGTGAACTGAAGGAAGTAGAAAAATAAACTGTGCTAGAGGCACACATTAGTTTGGAAATGATAGTTAATATCATTTTGCCACATACTACGTCAATATTTCTCAGAATCAAAATAATAAGAAACTAAATTTCTTCATCTTAGTTTTCAAACATAAACCAGAATACTACTGTAAATGATTCAAACATTCATCTGGAAAACACAAGTAAAAATAACTAGCAGCATTTTGAAAAAGGCTGGGGAAAGAGGGCTGATATTATCAGGTATTAAAAGCCTGCAATACATAGAACTGCGGTACCCAATCCCCGGGCTGCAGACAGGTATCGGTCTGTGGTCTATCAGGAACCAGGCTGCACCTAACAGGAGGTGAGTAGTGGGCTAGCAAGCAAAGCTTCATCTGTATTTACAGCCACTCCCCATTACCTGAATCACGGCATAAGCTCCATCACCTGTCAGATCGGTGGGCAGCATTAGATTCTCATAGGAGCACGAAGCTTACTGTAAACTGCGCATACGCTCTTTGTGAGAATCTAATGCCTGATGATCTGAGGTGGAGCTGAGGCAGTGAAGTTAGCTGCAGGTAGCAGCCACAAATACAGATTATCATCAGCAGAAAGGTTTG